CCAGTCCTGCAAGAGAGAATCTACTTGAGGATAGCATGCTACACACTCACACGGGGTGGGGGTGGGGTTCTTGAACTTGTATAGAGAACGTTGTCTGCTTCTCAAGGGATCTTAATTTGGAAACTAGTAACAAAGGAGGAAAAAGCCCTCGCATATATATATATATATATATATATATATATATATATATATATCTCCCTGGTATCTATCCTTCAACAGCACTGTGTGAAAAGATAAGCTCCTTTAGGAACTAGGGAAATGGCTCAGGAAAGTATCTTGCTGTTCAATCTGAAGGCCCTGAATTCCAATCCTCCGCACTCATGTGAAAATCTAGGTGTGCAGTACACACTTGTTGGCCTGAGGGAGTTGACAGAGGCAGATCCCTGGGTCTCACTGGCCCAGTTTAGCCAATCAGTGAGTGTGAAGTGCAGTGAGACGCCCTGTCCCGAACGTGTAAGGTAGAGAGCTACTGAAGAAGACACCTTAGGTTGACCTCTGACCTCACATTCACACATGTGCACTTGCACACGTGAAAGATAAGCTTCTTAAAATCTGTTCAACGTTTGTTTGGTATAACTCATCTCTGTGCCTAGTGCTTCAGTTACACATAAACAGAACAGGCACCATCTTTCTTGGAGCTCACCAGTGAATACAGCCAAGTCTGTGGGCATGAACCGAAAACTATGGCCCGCGGGTTGATGGGAAAGGACTAATTCTGCCCCAGTGTTCATCTTTCTGTAAACCTTATAACATGAAGGCCTCCTCTACCGTGGCATGCGTGTGACACACAAATGTACAGGCAAGAGCACCTGTACACATGCTTGTGTTTTGTTTGTTTATTTTGTTTTTTTGAGGCAGGGTCTCTCTGAGTAGCCTGGGTTGCTCTGGAAACTCACTGTGTAAACCAGACTGGCCTTGAGCTCTTTATGTAAGCCTTCATGGCAAGGATGTTCCTTTCAAGAATTTCTAACTCTTGAGATGCAGGTGGTAAAGAAGGTGATGTATTTTCTTTTTTAAGAAAGATGATTCAATAGTACACGGGTAAGTCAATTTGTGTAATGGAAGGGGAGATGTCATTTAAAAAGCACTTGCTGTGAGAGCAGGAAGGCATAAATTTAAATCACTAGCATCCATGTGAAAAGCGCAGAATGGTTGCATGTGGCTGTAACTCCAGCATTGAGACACAGGGACAAGTTGGTCATGGGGGCATATTGACCAGCCAGCATCACCAGAATGTTGAGCTCTGGGTTTGTTGCACACATGTGTAAATGGTATACGCACAAAAAAGTTTATATTTTATTTTATTTTATTTTATTTTATTTTATTTTGAGACAGGGCTTCTCTGTAGCTCTGGAGCCCGTCCTGAAACTAGCTCCATACCAGGCTGGCCTTAAACTCACAGAGATCGGCCCGTCTCTGCCTCCTGAGTGCTGGGACTAAAGGCGTGATTATTTTAAGACAGGGTTTCTTTGTGTAGCTCTGGCTGTCCTGGAACTCATTCTGTAGACCAGGCTGGCCTCAAACTTGGTGATCCACCTGCCTCTGCCTCCCGAGTGCTGGGATTAAAGATGTGAGCCACCATTGCCCCACACATGCAGAAGGTTTTTTTTTTTTAACTTGAGTATCAGTGAGAAAGGTATTTTTTTCTTCTAACTTCTGACCTCTTCAGACTACATCTGGTCAAATCTTTGGTTTTGAAAGACTTTCCAGCGTCAATTGCTTGTGATGTAAATCTTGTCTGTCAGCATTATTGGATTAAGAAACCTGAGGAGATTGGTGAAGCACACCTCTGTGTGTGTGAGAGAGAGCTTCCTTGAGATTATTAGATTATGAGGGCGCTGACATAGGAATGCATTAGTTTTTTGACAGACTCATAAATGCAAGGTCATTATTGGACAATGGCTGAAGGACATGGAGCCTGTTGAGAGGACGTGGGTCACCTGAGATGTAACCCTATAGGCTATTTTACCATTAAAGTCTTCGTTATTCCTTTTTTTCCCTACTTCTTCCTGTTATGAAGAGATATCTTTGCCTCATTCTCCTACTGTTATGTTCTGCCTCATAATAGTTCTAGAAACATGGAACCAAGCAGTCATGGACCACATCCTCTGAAGAAGCTAAACTGAATAATTCTTTCCTTAAATTTGCCACACAGTGACAAAATCGACTCATTTTCCTTTGCAATAGTCTTTTTTAAAAAAAATGAGCCAGATATGCAGCAGCTAGAAGCAGATAGATCTCTGAATTTGAGGCCAGCCTGGTCCACATAGTGATTTCTATGACAACCAGAGCTACATAGAGAGACCCTGCCTCAAAACAGAACAGAACAATGACAAAGGCAATGTGTATAGGTTTTTTACCTGCATGTGTATTTGTGCACCATATGCATGCCATGCGAGAGGAGGCCGAAAGAAGGCCTCGAGCTGGAGGTGCACAACTGCGTGGGTGCTGGGAGTTGAACCTGGATCCTCTGAAAGAGCAGCAGTGCTCTTAACTGCCTTGTCGTCACTTCAGACGCTGCAATAGGCTTTTTGAAACCTTTTCACTGAATCTTCCACTTATTAGGAAGCTTGTTGTTTATAATAGGAACATAAAATTTCCTTTTGAATTATCTAAAAAGTGAACTATAGAAAACATAGGCTAACAGGACACATCTTACAGAGTCTCGGCAAAAGTTACGACTAAATGAAGTGTGGAAAGTTCTTTATTACTTTTCAACAATCCAGGAAGGCAAGATAGATCTGAGTTCTGCAATCCCCCCAAGGCCACTGTGTAAGACGCTGAGAAGCGAGGATTCAAACCTAGACGTCTCTGTCTTTAAAGTCAGTGTACAGCATTCTTGTCTGCCTTAGACCATGACTGTAATTTTTTTCTTTCCTCCAAGGGCTGGAACTCTGAACTCTTTATTGTAGTTTATTATCTAACACAGCAGTTCTCAAAGTGTGTACCTTTCAGGCAGTCTTCCAGATAAAGGTAGTTTCACCAAATCCCAGGACACTATGGTCTGTTCTGTTCTAGTTTGTTCCAAGTGAACAGGAATTTCTTTTAAGGTTACTTTATATGCAGTGTGACAGTACATTGAATACAGAAGCATACATGAGAGTCCAGCGGCCCTCTCTAATGCCAGATATTAAAAAGACTAATGGAAACAGCAATTTTTCTCACTAACCATTTTGGGATTTTGAAATTAAAACTTTTAATAATAAAAATCACAAGACGTTTATCAAGACAGAGTGAGTTTATTATTCTCAAATGATTTAAATTTTTAAAAATAAATTTTACGTGTATAGGTGTTTTGTGTGTATAAAAATAATTTTTTAAAAATATTTATTTATTTATTTATTTATTATGTATACAATATTCTGTCTGTGTGTATGCCTGCAGGCCAGAAGAGGGCACCAGACCTCATTACAGATGGTTGTGAGCCACCATGTGGTTGCTGGGAATTGAACTCAGAACCTTTGGAAGAGCAGGCAATGCTCTTAACCTCTGAGCCATCTCTCCAGCCCCGTATAAAAATAATTTTATGTGTGTATGAGTATAGATGGGTACACGTGTGTACCACATATGTGCCTGGTATGCAAGAAGTCGAGAAAAGGCTGTGAGATCTCTCAGAACTGGAGCTGTAGACGGCTGGGAGCCCATACAGGCTGGGAATCAAACCCAAATCCTCTTCGAAAGTAGTCAGTGCTCTTAACCCTTAAGCCATTTTCCAGTCTCCTCAAATGATTTTGTAATAATTTGAAATGTTTATCCATTCTCATTTTGAAAACAGTAAAACATTTATCATGTATCTATCATTTATCTCTCATTTGAATCAGTCCCATGGCTTTAACATGAATGTAAAGGGTTCATAGGTATGGCGCAGCATTTAGCATGAGAAATAAATAAAAAAATATTGAAGGTGATTGATATATTGTCTTAACTCTATCATACCACACTGTTTACTTATATCATTACATTCCTGAATATCCCACAATCACATACAGTTACAATTTGTCAAAAATATTAGATATTCCTTTCTACTTTTAAGAAAAGGTAAGTAAAAACATTTTTAAGAAGAACTGAAGTGTTGAAAAATATGTAGTATGGTAATATTTATTAATGGTACCTTTTTGGACCCTAATATTTCTACTCTCTCTTGTCTCGCCCCTTTCCATTAAGGTAGGTAGCCCCTGAGCTTCTCTTGTCTCAGAGGAGAGACATTACCAAATGCAAGGCTGAAATGATGTTAACCCCTCACCCTTACCTCAAGAGAGGCTCAAAGGAGGGCCTCTGGGAGCCTGAATATTTGGGAGGGTGATAGACACCTGGCAGGGAACAACTCTGAACTCAAAGAGTCTGTGGAACCACTTGCAGATCCACAGTGAGCTGGTAAGTCAAGTCAACTCACCTCTCCTAGAGTGTTCACAGCATCAGATAGACCTATTGTGTCTACTGGAAATAAAAGACAATGGCCCAGTCCTGAGGGCCAGGCCAGCCCAGCCCATAGGTAAGCTTCTCTGGTTTAGGAGAGCATGTACTAGGGTTGACTGTTTTTATCTTAATGCATTGGGAGAATATGCTGACCAGTTTTTGTCAGCTTCACTCAACGTAGAGTCACCTGGGAACCTCAGCTGAGAAATGGCCTCCGTAATGCTGGTCTGTAGGCACGTCTATGAGGGCATTTTGTTGATTTACAATTGCTGTGGGAGGTCACAGCCTACTGTAGGCAATGTCATCTCTGGGCACGTGGCCCAGGCTTGCATAAGAAAGCAAGTTGAGAAAGCGGTAGAGTGAGCCAGTAAGCGGCATGCCTCCATAATCTCTGCTTCAGTTCCCGCTTCCAGATGCCTTCCCTGCTTGAGTTCTGGCCTCAGCTCCTCTCTGGGATGCACTGTTATTTGGGCATGTGAGCCAAAGAGACCCTTTCCTCTCAAGCCACTTTTGGTCATGGTGTTTATCATAGTCACAGAGAAGCAGACTGGGTCAGGACCAGTCAGGACCTCTCTTCCTCTCACCATTTCCCTCTTCACCCTTTCTCGTCTCAGCCTGGACAAGTGAGTTCTCCAAACCTTGCTCTATCAAGTGCTTGACCTCCTCTATGGAGACTCCAAGATGAAGCTCAGAACTTGAGGAAACCATGACCGTATCTATTCTTGCGAAGTAAAAGGTTTAGCCTTCCTTAACTACTCAAAGGAGGCACTGACATGAACTGGAATCTGGGCCGCCATTCCTTAGCTTTGTGACTTTGAGCAGGTCATGAAACTGGCCTCTATTGACTCGTGTGTGAAATGGGGCCTTCATAGCACCAAGCTCATAGAAGGGCTGATGTGAGGAGCAAATGAGTATTTACTAACATTATCATAAAGGAAGCAGACCACAGACCACAGACCACAAAGAGGTGAGAAACCCATTTCAGAACAGCCTTGTGTTAGGAGAGTGAATGGGGAACCATGATGTAGGTCCTACTTGTGCCCCCTCAGTTCCCCCACAATCAGCGCCAATGTGGGGGCCCACAAATGTGAGTCCCGTTCCACCTTGACTAAAGGTCAGAGAGTATGAGTTTATTTTTACTTTTTCAAAGTTGTTGACAACAGGTCTGGCTACAAACAAGATAATCCTAGGTGTTTTAGATAAACTTGGTGTTTTAGACGTTAAGAAGGCCCGTGGAGGTGGATCCACTTCACCTTGACCAAAGGTCAGAGAATTCAAACCTATTCCTGCCCCTTCATTTTAAAACAGGAAGTTTGACTTAGGGAGTGGTTGCCTACAGGACACTTGGTCTAGGGTGTATTTGCTGCATATCCTGCCCAAAACATCAGAATGCTTAACTCAGGAAATAGTGGCTTGCTGTCTCAAGTATTGAAGCGAGTGATTGTTCTGGTTGTCCTTTGTGTCATGTTAAAGCAGTCTTTTGTCTGCTTCCCCCCTTTTGTATTGGAGTATATGAGTGTATGGAAAATAAATGTGGGCGGATTCAATATTCAGTATTCACTGAGCTGCCCTTCCAGTGCTACCCTGTGTCTCTGTATTTCTTTCATATCTCTGTTTCTCCTACATAACGTTTCTAATCTACACGGCCCTACCCTGGAATGTATGAACAGTCGTGGCTGTACCACAACAGATGTCACTCCAACGTGTCACTCAGGACACACTAAGTTCTGGCATAGACTTTATGTGGGAAGGACAGTGTGGTCAAAAGAACTGCCTGCCACTCTTTTAGACAAGCATGTCTCTTGTTCTGAGAAAGAGAAAGACAAGGATCTGAAGGTGGCCATTAGAGGGTCCTTGAAAGCGAGACACCACAACTCTGTCCTCTTAGCTCTGCTCTCTCCAAGCCAGGCTGGGCCAGCCAGAAAAGAGGATGCAACTCACAGTCAGACAGCAGACACCAGACTCCTGCTTTCCCACTTTCTACCTGAGGTTTTTGTTTTTGCTTTTAGACAGGGTTTCTCTGTGTAGCCCTGGCTGTCCTGGAACTTGCTTTGTGGATCAGACTGGCTTTAAACTCAGAAATCCACCTGTCTTTGCCTCTGAAGTGCTGAGATTAAAGGTGTGCACCATCACGCCTGGCTCTTTAGAGCAGTGTACTAGGCCATCATTTCCTTTTTATCTTCAACTGTCATTGAGCAAAGACATATCTACCTCTGTTCGGTTATTAGATGTAAGCAAAGCACACAGTGAGTGATCAATAAAGAGTGTCCCACATGGGACTTTCAAGGAGCTGAGTGGGGCAAAGGTCTACATAGCTGATTGGTTGAAGAATCCTGAAAGGACAATTCAAATGACTAATGCAATAAAGACACGCCATGGCTAATTTTATGTCAGCTTGACACAAGTTAGAGTCATCTGAAAGGAGGAAACTTCAATTGAGAAAATGCCTCCATGAGATCCAGCTATAGGACATTTTCTTAATGGTTGATGGGAGGGCCCAGCCCATGGTGGATGTGCTATCCCTGGGTCCTGGTATATAAAAAGGACCCTAGATCCTTTCAATAGGAAAGCAGATTCAGCAAGCCATGGGAACAAGGTTGTAAGGAAAAGTGCTTCATGGCCTCTGTATCAGTTCCTGCCTCCAGGTTCCTGCTCCCCTGAGTCCCTGTCCTGGCTTTCTTCAATAATGGACTGCAATATGGAAGTATAAACCAAATGAACCCTTTCCTCCTCAGCGTGCTTCCTGCTAACATGGTGTTTCATCTCAGCATTAGAAACCCTACTTAGGACAGCACAGTCAGCTCATCACGCAATTTGTGCTTTCACTATTAGTAGTTACTTTTCTATCGCTGTGATGAAGCTTCATGGCCAAGGCTACTTATAAAGGGGAGAGTTTAATTGGGCTTATGATTTCCGAGGGGTAGACTCCATGATGGCAGAGCAAAGACATGGTGGCGTGAAGGGCGGAGGGCTTACAGTTGAGCCAGAAGACATGGTGGCAGGAAGGGCAGACTCAGTTGAGCCAGAAGACATGGTGGCAGGAAGGGTGGAGAGCTTACAGTTGAGCCAGAAGCACAAAGTAGAGAAAGGGAGCACAGCAGGAATGGCGCAATCTTTGGAAACCTCAAAGCATACCCACAGTGCCACACCTCCTCCAACGAGGCCACTCTTTCCAGTCCTTCCCAAACAGTTCCACCAAGTGGGGAGCAAGTATTCAACCATGAATGCCTATAGAGGCTGTAATCATTCAAATCACCACACTTTCAGTCAAGATTGGGACTTAGAGATTTGTTAGAGCTCCGTTGGGCTTCTTCGGAGTCTGGAGAGGTGGAAACTGAGGTCAGAAGAGGCTTATTAAACTGTCTCTACCCCAGTTTCCTATAAAGGATAATTTGTGATAGTGCTTATCTTAGTAGATTTTTAATCAAACCAAAAGACAGAGCATTCTCACAAGCCTATGGGGTTAGAATGGATGGAGGCCACAGTACTTCAACTCTTGGACTTCCAAGATCCGTCACTGTTTTTCTTTCTGCATACCTACTTTCTCTTGTTCATGATGTGTGGGATTAAAAGTATCTGACTCAGTTAATTGTGCATTATTTTGTTTCTAGTTTTCAAATATAGCAGACCATACCAAGGACATAGCTCAGTGGTGGACTGCTTGCGTAGGATACACAGGGCCTTATGTTCAATCTCGAGTTTTGGAAAATACCAAAAAGGAAAAGAAATCTCATCTAAGTACACCTGACTATTGGGGTACAGAGGTACATGCCTGAAATCCAAGCACTCAAGCTGCTGAGGCAGGAGGATCTCAAGGCCAAACTGGGCTATGGACAAGAACCTGTGTCAACAAAAAAGCAGCAAGGACCACACCAACACCAACCACACACCATAAACAACCAGGCAACAAAGGTTCCAAATTCTTAAATTCAAATCTGAAGAGAGGTAATTTCCTGCACTGGCCCCTGGGCATGGTGTTCTCAATTAAAGTTGTGTTTGTATGTGTTCAAGACAGAAAACACAGTGGGAAAGTAGAGACATAAGTCAGACAATTAAAGAAGCATGTGAAATGCACAGCGAGCATGGAAAAAACACTCAGCCTCACTAATATGCAAATAAATGCAAATCAGTATAACAATGCGAGCCTTTGTTTCTGGCCTGTCAGATTGGCAATAATAAAAATACAGATAGGTCCCTCAAGATTGCTCAGCCGGGAAAGGCCCTTGCCACCAAACCTGATAGCCCAAGTTGGATCCCAAGGAAACACGTGGTGAAAGGAGGGAACTGATTCTGTAAATTGATTGCTCTCTGACCTCCACAGGGTACCATGGCACATGTACACCACACACACACACATGCATACAAATAAAAGTGACCGCAAAGTTTAAGAGTCGAAAATGATATGTGTTTGTGTGCTATTGGGCATTGTTTTGGTATTTGAAATGTGTCAACCAACTAGAGTATTCATGGGCCTGTTAAAGCTTAACAAATGCCCTTCAGTGGATGGAGGGATTGTGGTACAAAGGACCACTCAGAACATTACAAAGGATGAGAAAAGTCCTTACATAAAATGTATATGAAAGTATGGTCCCCCCCAATCTCATAGCTTGTGGGGGACAATCTTCAGGAGGTGAAGAATGAAGAATGAAACTTGGGGCAGTTCCATCCTTGCAGGCACTGGGTCAAAATCTTCCAGAGACTGACCTGGTGGGTGGTTTACTTTCCTTATGTATTGAAACAGTAAAATTTGTGACTGGTGACCTTTACAATAAGAATGAATTTTACTGACTGATAAACGGACCTTAGGGCTAGGGCCTGGAGGAAGAATCTGATAAGTATAAGGAGAGATTCTATTGGGGAAGGATGCAAACCACATGGGAACTCTCTTGTGGGGATTTGTAGTATTCACTGCAGAATTAGGGCCTGAACAATGCCCAGGTTATTGCCGGGATGCAGGTGGAGGCTGGCTCCTACTAGAATAGCAAAGTATAACCAGGTGTTTTGACCTGCTTGCCATTCCAGCATTGCAGGCAATCAGGCATCATTCATCTCATTTCACTGAAGAAAATAGGTCCTTGTGATTGACAATCCTGGTTTCTCCAGTGTTTATTCAAAGATGTGCTTCCTAGATAAAAGCCCTGAAGCCAAAAATAAAAACAGAATAGACAAAAATGGTCTTATTTTTTAAGCATATGATGTGTACGATGTATACTATTCATAGTGATATATACTATATTCCAGTCTTATAAACGAATGAAACCACTACCAACAACAAAAATAACCTGAGCTTTTCCCCAGGGGTATACAGACCCAACACAACGAAGATAGCTGTCCCACCTGGAGCCTCGGCTGTGAGAGGCTGTAGGGTGGACACATCCTCAGACGGGACGTTAGTGCTCCTGTACTCAGAGAATTTGGCTTACCTATAACCAAAGTGCCTTCTCTCTTTATAGACGAATTTGTGCACTTGTGAACTGAACTCTTTGCACAAGCCTACAAGTAATACATATCTATATTTACACACGGAAAGAGGAGGCAGGTGACTGAGGATAGTCCAGGCATGCAGCCGACTGAAGGGTTGCACATACAAAGAACTGGAGGTGAACCTTGGGATACTGGGGGTGGGCTGGGTTCCTTCCATAAACACTCTTGCTTGTTATAAATCATAGCTTTGTGTGGGTGCGTAAGGGTTATTTTAGAACTTTAATGGGCTGAGAAGCTACAACTCTCACCAGGAGAAATTTTAGAAAAGCATCTCTCTTTGAACGGTTCTTTTCTTCATAGAAACACGTTGAAGGTTCAAGGAGAAGATGGTCGGCTGTGCAGACAGCTTTGCAGGAGTATCTCCGTCACACGCTGTCAGTCAGCCACGTTAATTTGGCCCGGAGAGAAAGCAACTTCCATAAAGGGCTTCTGTCTTCATTTGCAGCAGGCAGCTTACCAATACTGATTTTGGAGCAGTGTGAGAATCAAGCAGATTTTCTGTGAGAAACGGAGCATTTATTCACTGTTTTACTTTTTCAAGCATCTAACACCTGGACAGGCAAATTCTTTGGGTGCAATGTCAGATTTCTCCTTTTCAAATGCCTTCCGCCACACCAAGCAGCTCCCTAAAACTTCAGCATTGCTAATTCAGGTAACTGCCTTCCAAAAATATTTACAGGAATGGGAAGGTTGGGGCTAATACAACTCTCACGTTATTCAAAGACAGTATTTTAAAACGATTTTTTTTATATGAAACCTGCCAAATCACTGATGTTAAAATTGGTCATTCTTTATGACATTAAGATGCAAACAGTAATCATAGACTCTGCTAGCTGGGGGATTATTTTGCTTAGTCCCCCCTTGTTGCCTGCACTTTTCTGTGAATACCCAGACCTCGGAACAGGCACGCGCTTTCCCGAACCAAGCCCACGAGAATGGATGAATATCCTAAGGGTTGAAGCACACAGACAGCAAGAGACCTGCTCATTCACCAAAGAGTAAATGACAACTTTATTAAACTCAAGTCGGGTATATATACTAGGGGGAAAGGGGGCAAAAGGGCAAAGCCCCCTCCCATCAGGAGCAGTGGAAGAGGATGACAGGCCAGAAGCAGCTGCGGGAGCAGGCGTGGCAGGCATATAGGGCTGGAACCTTGTTTACAGGTGGAATTACCATAACAAAAGAGGGCCAAGTTCTTTCTAAGCTAAACCCTCAGGCCGGTGCAAGTGCAAGAAAAGCCAGGGAGCCAGGGGTCAAAGGGCCCTACAAATCACCACGAATTAAAGGGGGAGAAACCTGGATACCTACACCCCCTGGTTATATATGAGGAATCTGAAGACTGGGAATTTTAACTGCAGTTAATGACTAAGAAATATCAGGGCTCTTTTGTACTGTCTAAACTAAGGGTTTATTTATTCATTTATTTACTTGTAATCACAGCTAGGCAAGTAAGTCTCTTTTACCCTTCAGCCCCACATTTTCCTCAGAGATGCCAAACAATCATTCTTCCTGTACTTCGTACTTCTCACATTCCGCCTTGGAGAATCTCTCAGGCTTACCCAGGCAGGATGGGATGTCGTGTCATGTGACTGTGCACCACCAACTGCAGCATCTCCAACTCAAGGCTGAGCACATGACCTAAGCCGAGTTGATCACACTTTCTCCTAGGAACCTGGAAGAGAGACAGGGACTGAGTCATTTTGCCTGTGAGGAGCCAAACTGCAAGGTCATGCCCAGCTGGCTTGCTGCAGCGGGCCAGATCGTCATGATCATCAGAGCCAGGGGAAGCTGAGAAACCACGAGTCAGCAAAGTCTTCAAAGAAAGAGGCACAAAGAAGGATCAGGCAAACCCCAGGGGCAAACAGGAAAGTCGTGTACCTGAGTAAAGTCCAGGAAGAGGAGCAGGAGGAACCTGTGAGACTTTTATTCTGCTCCTAGAGGGTCAGCAGCTGCGTCTTCTCCACTGGATCACTGTCACAACTAGGCAGAATTCTGCAGCATCCATCTACTTCTCCCTGAAACACTTCACAATTCATACGGACCCTTGGCATGGCAACTCATGTCTGAAATCTCTGCCTTTAGGAGGCAAAGGCACAACAGGTGTAAGACCAATGACAGTCTGATAGACATCGTGAGTTGTGGGACCACCAGGGAACAAAAGAAGACCCTTTTTGCAAAAAGCAAAGCAAGGCCTCCTCAAGCCGCTGTCCCTCGATCAGCCATGGATCAGGTAATGCAGTTTGTTGAGCCAAGTCGGCAGTTCGTAAAGGACTCAGTTCGACTGGTTAAAAGATGCACCAAGCCCGACAGAAAAGAATTCCAGAAGATTGCCATGGCCACAGCTATAGGATTTGCTATCATGGGATTCATTGGCTTCTTTGTGAAACTGATCCATATCCCTATTAATAACATTATTGTGGGTGGCTGAGTGTTTCCGCTTCACTGGAACTAGGAGCAATGAGTGTGTGAGAAGCTTATGAAGTAAAAAGTTGCCTGTATACTTTGTGTTTTTCTTTCTTTTCCTCTCCCCAAGAGGTTTTGTATTTCTAAACTAAAATAATTTCAAAATAAACATTTTTTCCCATGATAAAAAAAGCAAAGCAAAACAAATGACCTCAAAAACTTAAATATATGAATATGTGCGTATTAAAATACACATTTTGTTATAAAGAATGCCCACTCTCATGAATGTTGGGTGCTGATGTCTTATCTCAAAGCCTACAGGAGGGCCCACTGAACCACCTAACACCCTACCCAGCACACCACTGGGACATGGTGTGTCCTGTAACCCAGGTATAAATAATCAAGCTGGTAAGTCTTTTCCAAAAATTAGTGCTTCCATTGTAACGTTACTTGAGAAGAATGACTTAATTGATACACAGAACTAGTTATTTTCAAAATAAAAATTATAAGTACCTTCAAGAAACTCAAAGAGGGGATGTGTTAATCCCAGAATGAAGACTGTGAAAACACAAATAGTTGAAGGAAACAAAGAAAACAATTCAGTGTATGGAAATGAAATTAAATAGAGGTAGAATTTCAGAAGAAATGCCAAACTGAAATAAAACTGCAGCGAGAAATATAGTCAGTGAGATAAAAACCTGAGGGGGGCAGCTGGAAAGATGGCTGGGTGGCTAAGTCACACACAAAGGCAGGCCCATCAGAGGACAGTGCCTCATTTTTCAATGGAAACTTTGAAAGTCAGAAGGGTCTCACTGTATGTTCTTCAAGTTTTAAAGACCACAGATGCCAGTCCACACTACTATATAATATTAATATAATCGTCAGTTATCATCAAAGGGGAAAGTTTTCCATAATGATAACAGATTTAAGGACTTTTTTATGTATTCAGTGTTCTGCCTCCATATATGCCTGCAGGCCAGAAGAGGGTGCCAGATCTCATTAGATGTGGCTGTGAGTCACCATGTGGTTGCTGGCAATTGAACTCAGGGCCTCTGGAAGAGCAGGCAGTGCTCTTAATCTCCGAGCCATCTCTCCAACCCCGATTTAAGGACTTTATGACCACTATGACAGCTCTACAAAGGATATTGACTAAATACTTGGGTATGAAGAGAAGGTTAAACATACCAAAAGTAGCACAGGAAATAAATAAACAATTCTTTAACAGTTAGTCAAAAGAGATCTAAGAAAACACAACCACAACAAAACAATAAGAGTTAATATTATTAAATAATAACTTTTACAAAGCTACAGAGAAACCCTGTCTCAAAAAAACCAAAAAAAATTTAATATTAACAGTCTCAATTCCTTAATAAAGAGACATAGACTAACAGACAAGAATAGGAAAAGAGATTCATTTTTTGCTGCCTTCAACACACCTCACCACCACGTTAGGGTAAAAGGATGGGAAAAGGTATTCCAGGAAAATGGAACTAATAAACAACAGACATACAGATAGATATTCCAATATCTGACAAAGTAGACTTTAAAACTCTAGTCAGAAGACATGAAGACAGATACTTTGTATTACTCTAAGGGAAGAATCCACATAGAGGATACAGTGGAGGATACATTTATGCACCAGACACAGAGTAAATACACCAAACATAGTGTTTTACAAAAGAAATACAATTAAATCTAAAACTACAGATTAACCTCAACACAGTGATAGTGGGTGACTTCAATATTCCACCCTTTCCAATAGACCGGTTATCCAGACAAAATCTAGATAGAGATACTCTGGAATTAAGTGGCACCATAAATCTAATGACTCTACCAGACATTTATAGACCATTCCACCCAAACATAAAGTATATACTTTCTTCTCATTGGCCCATGGAACTTTCTCCAAAGTGAACCAAATATTAAATCATGTCTCAACAAATACAGGAAAATTGAAATAGCATCCCACATTTCTTTTTTTCGAGACCAGGTTTCTATGTAGCTTTGGAGCCTGTTCTGGATCTAGCTCTTGTAGACCAGGCGGGCCTCAAACTCACAGAGATCTGCCTGCCTCTGTCTCCTGAGTGCTGGGATTAAAGATGTGCACCACCACCGCCTGGCTTAACATCCTACATTCTATCTGGTCACAAAGGAACAAAAGTGGATTTAACAGCAATAGAAACGACATAAAGTCCGGAAACTCAAGGAAACTAGACAACATACTGAATGAAAACTGGTTCAAGGGGGAAATCAAGAAGGAACTTTAACATTTTTCTAGAGTTGAGTGAAAATGAAAACAGACAAAAACGTATGAGACACAGTGAGGCAGTTATAAGAGGAAAATGTCTATCACTAAGTGACCATATAAACATTTTAAGAGATCTTATTTAATAAAATAGTGATGTACCCAAAGACATAGGAAAAGTAAAAAAGAACAATACTTAAAAATAGTAGATGTGGTGATATAATCAAAATCAAAGCTGAAATTAATAAAATTGAAACAAACAACAATCACTGAAATGAAGGGTTGGTTCTTTGAAAAGACTTAACAAGATTGACTAAGAGAGAGAGGAAGAGAGAGATTACCCGAATAAATCAGAGACGAAAAGGGAGATATTACAACAGGCACTGAGAAAACTCAGAGACTTATAAGGACATAAGATAAAAGTCAATATTCCACTATAGTGGAAAACCCAAAAGAAATGGATATATATGTACAAATTCAGCTTCCTACCAGAGATTCAGGGATGGTTCAATATACATAACCAGTTAACATAATTTATAATATAAACTGAATGGTAGAAACCACATACTCATCTTATTAGATGTAGAAAAGTACTTTAACAAAATCCAACATTTCTTTATGATAAAAGTCTTGAAGAATCTAAGGATACAGGGGATATAGCTCAAAATAATAAAGGTAATATACAACAAACCCATAATCATGATAAACATAAAAAAACTCAAAGCATTTCTGCTAAAATCAGGACCAAGGCAAAGCTGTTTACTCTCTCCATACCTGCTCAATTTAGCTTGAAGTCTTAGCTAGAGCAAGCAAGGGGATACAGATAAAAAGGGAACCAAAGTATTGTTATTTGCAGATGAAATGATTCTGTACAAAAAAGACACTAAGGACTCTACCAGAAAACTACAGCTGATAAACACATTCAGCAGTATAGCAGGATGCAAATTAAACATACAAAAATCAATGGCCCTCTTGTGTAAAAACATCATATGTGCCAAGGGAAAAAAAAAAACATGGAAACAATACCACTCACAACTGTCAAAAAACAAAATAAAACAAAACACAAACAACAAAATCCATTACAATAAAGATAACCAAAGGAGTTAAATATTTGTAATTTAAGACATTGAAGAAAGAAGTTGAAGAAGATAACAGAATACAGAAAGACCCTTTATGTTTATGATTGGTAGGATTAATGTTGTAAAAATGATCACACTGCCAAAATTAATCCATACAAAATCCCTATCAAAATCCTAACAGATTTTTTTTTACAGAAATTGAATAAATAATCTCAAATTCCATACAAATCAGAACAATTACAAACATGAGGCTAGCCAAAACAATTGGAGCAATAAAACAACTCCTGGAAGTATCAACACCCTTGACTTTAACTTCAAGTAATACTTAAGAGTAGAAAAAAAATCTTTACCTACAAGTTATACTTCAATAATAAAAGCAGTATGTTACTGGTATAAACAAACAAACAAAAACCACATTGACTAGTGGGGTAGAATTGAGGACCTTTATATAAGTCCAGGCTCCTACAGCCGCCTGATTTTTGACAAGGAGGCCAGAAAGTACTCCCTAGAGAAAAACAGTACCTTCAATAAATAGTTTGATCAAACTCGAGGCTGCATGTTGATAGATCAACCTACATCCTTATTTCTAACCTTGAACAAAACTCAAGTCCAAACATATCAAGAACCTCAACATAAGATCTGATATATCTACTTTACTTGAACTTATAGACACAGAAAGGGACTTGTAGCACAGGCATTAAGACCAAGAGTTGATAAATGGGATCTCAGAAAACTGAAAAGCTGTGAACTCAAAGCAGCCTATAGAATGGGGGAAAAAATCTTTACCCACTAAATACATGAAAGAGGCTTTGTATCTAAAATATACAAAGAACTAAAAAAGCAAAATATTATGAAAACAAGCAAATTTAAAAATGAGAGAAGAATCTAAACAGAGAGTTGTCAAAAGATAAAATGTAAATAGTTGGTGCTATGGGAACTCCTTCAGCCAATAGCCTTTGAGATACCCGCCCTCTTTGGGCGTGGTCTCATGTACTGTAATTGCAGATGAAAAGCAAGCGAGGGTCTCTTGGTTGCTAGACTTGGTTTCAGTTCCCAGTGCATGCAGAGAACTGTTGATTGCTACACTTTCTGTGAGTTTATCCCCAAATAAATAAACTTTTGTTATACTCCATTCTGGGCTATTGTGGAACTCTTTTGTACGCCAACAAATTGGTGCCTATGTGGCCAGAGTCCACGCCATTGCCAGGCCCTGTCCAGACCCCTATCTGTGGCCTTCTGCCATCCCATGCAGCTGAACTACCCCTCTGGCATGCAGCTACACACCTTTGGGCTGACCCACCATGTGGTGACTTGGCAATTTTCTACTGCCTGTGCCCACTTGGCTTGTCCCGCCTACAAAGTGGCTGACTTACTGCCCCCCTACCCCCCATGGCTTTTTGCCAAAACTCCTCCATGGCTTCTCTGGCTTCTGCCAGGCCTGCTTGGGAGCAGGGGCTGCTCCAGCTTGCATTCCCAGTTTGGGTCCACGAATGTCTGGCCCAGGCTTTGGCCAATAACTTCACAGCTAGTGATTGCCTGCAAGCTCTGGGTTCCTTGATGTTCTGTACAACTCAAACCTCCATATGCAAATATGCTGCTCTTAAGTAATTAACTGAATTTGTTAGTAACTAAGTCCCATGTAATTCAGGTACTGATCTAGGATTTGCCTTACTGCTGCAACTGTGACTCCTGCTGGCCAATCTAGTTTATTACACTCACAGCAGTTTTCTGAAAATTATAATGGGATTATTTATTTGATTAATAAATAAATAAATTTGAAAATTATAAATCAGCCCCAAAATAATTGCAGGCAATACCACTATCCAGGAATTTTTTAAAACATTTCTTTATTTATTTTTTATT